CAATAACCTCTCTAACTTACAGTTACAGTAGCAGGGAGACCTTCAGGCACATTAGCGACAATGATTCCAATAAGGAAAACAACTGCTTCAATCCACGCATATCCAAGGATCAGGGACAGGACGAAGAAGGTCACACCCAAGAAAATAGACACAGCAGAGATGATGTGGATGAAGTGCTCGATCTCTCGAGCGATTGGTGTCTGTCCACCTTCCAGGCTGGAGGCAAGTGATGCAATGCGACCCATAATCGTGCGGTCACCGGTGCTGATGGCAATCCCTCTGGCAGTACCTAAGGTTTCAATATGTTCAGTAATTTACTTATTCAGTTTGTCCACACTGTAAAAAACATCCAAAATATCCACTTTCTTGTACCTTCAACACAGTTGGTAGAGAAAAATGCAATGTTTTTTGTCTCTAGAGGGTTTTCATGGGAGAATTCAGGAGAACGAGACTGCGGCTCAGATTCACCAGTGAGGGAAGAGTTGTCCACCTGAAAAAGTAGACAGAAAGTATGAATCCATGTTGGTCCAAGCTGATTTCTTCATGTTAGTGCAAGTCCATGTAGTCATGGTGTTCAAAAGCAAAACATGAATGTATACAGATATACATTCGCTCTTCCTGTGCTGGAGACCAGCAATCAGCATCTCCATGCTGGTCCCAGCATGCAAAATATCTCTTATGCTGGTGATTTATCTGCAGTGATATTTTAGACACCACATTCAGAAACACTTTACGTCTTACCTTGCATCCTTGTGCATAGACAATTCGCAGATCAGCAGGGATTCTGTCTCCACCACAGACCTCTATAAGATCACCGACAACGACCTCCTCAGCATTGATGACCTTTTTCTCTCCATCCCGCACAACTAGAGCTTGCTGAATGAACAGAACAATGACTACTGCAGTACCACGTACCAAGTTACATTCGGACATTAAAGGACACATTTTTCTTTACCTGTGGAACAAGATTCCTGAAAGACTCCATGATTTTGGAACTCTTGGATTCCTGATAGAATGAGAACCATCCATTGACTATGACCACAAACGCAAGCACAAGTCCCAGGTACAGCTGCAGAACAGATATAACAACCACAGATTGTTAACATTTGTATAGAATTTATAACTACATTTTTCCAGCAGTGATGACTCCATTTCAAATTATGGGTTGCACTTTCCGTTTGAAGAACTTCAATTAAAAAAAGCTAGATCAAATCTCTTCAAATAAGAAGATTGTGCTACAAATACTCCCAACCCAAGCTCATTCTGAAAACGTAGTCCCGTTTCTGGAGACAGCAGAATACATCCCGGGAGGTACGTACAGCTGCGTTTATTTTTTTTCTAACGAACGCTACGGGGTGGTGTGTCGCTGTTCCCTTTCGCGCTTGCCGGCTGGCCGGCCGACCGACCGCTTACCTCCTTTTGGAGGGCTTTCCCGCTGCAACCAGTTTGTCCACTCAGCTCACCGTGTACGTCGGCAAGCTTGAGATGCAGAGAGGAGTTGACCACGGCGATCGGTTTCGAGTCCGGGGAAGAGCGGTTCCAGCAATCAGGTAAGACAAAAACAGAATCCCAAAAATTAAGTGAACGAGTTTCATAACAGGGTGAGAACGTGGTGAAATCCGAAAACGCGGTAGAAAAAAATACAGGGCTTTTCTTTTTTTGGACGGCTTTTGTAAACTGTTGCTCGGGTTTAGGGAAGTGAGCGGGCGGGCGGGTCAATCGGTAAAATTGGTTGGGTTTAGGGAAGGAGGAGGGCGGGTCAGCCGATTGGCCGGTCGTGCAGTCAATCATGCGGTCAGTCGGACAGCGGCCTCTGGTGGGTTCACGTGAGAACAGCGCGGGTGCGAACTGCACTCGCGAGAGGCATTTGAGGTGCAAAAAAGCACACAACAGCGGCCTCTCTCAGATTCGCAAAAACTGCAGCCGTACGTACCTCCCAGGACGTATTCCGCGGTCTCCAGAAACATCAACGGGACTATGTTTCCAAAATGAGCCTGGGTTGAATTCTCCGATTGCATAAGTAAAAACTGATTGAGGAGTATAATTGTTCACAGTTTTGCTTGTTCAGATTATTTCTGCACAGGACCGTAATGTTAAATAATTGTAAATTTGCCACAAAAAGACTCAATAGGGATCATTCATCCTGTGCTGAAAGTAATTTATTAAGTTGCCTTGTACAGTAGTATTGGAATGGATGAACTGTGAGAACAATGACACCTCTTCAAAACACTTCACTGATTGTTTGCAGTTTAATGAAACCAACTCCCATAAATCTCAAAATGCATCATGGGCTGTAGGAAGAAGGTAGATATTTATGTAGATATATTTTCTCTCTCTCTTACATTGTCATGTGCCGCGTCTTCCACAGATGCCACCTGGATTCCATAAGCTAAGAAACAAAGGAATGCACCGAACCACAGCAGAGTTTGGAAACCACCGAAGAGCTGTTTGCAGAACTTCACCCATTGTGGAGTTGTAGGAGGTGGGGTCAATGCATTCGGCCCATCGCGGTCCAGGACCTCTTTTGCACGAAAAGAAGACAAGCCCTGCATTGGGTATGAGCATTGAGGAGTTCAAACACATATAGAAGAAACAAAAACACAACTTAAAGTCAAATAACCTACATTGGTCCTACTTTATATTAAGTGTCCTTAACTACTATGTACTTACATCAAAAAATAAATGCAGTGTATTTACTGTGTTTATAATGTATTTGAGAACACTTGTGGTGTTCTTGAGTTGGGATAGAGGTTGGGTTATGGACAGGTTTGGTGGTATGGGTAGGTTTAAGGGTGGGTTAAGGTGTAGGGAATGGTCAGCAGTGTATTTACAAATGTAATTACAGAAGTTAATCACAGATATAATTACATACAGGTATTTAATCAAGCATAAGTACACAGTAAATACATGTATTCACACAATAAGTACATTGTAACAAACTATTAATTCCTGTGTAAGTACATATTAGTTAAGGCCACTTAATGTAAAGTGGGACCCCTACATTTGCAGACACCTACACAGATTTCTATGAAATGCAAGCCTATTGTATTTTAAATCAACAGTAACTGGTATTGATTATGCAGGTGTGTTGATTCAAAACAAGAAAAAAACTTCAGGAATGCATCCTTAAAATATTTTTGTCTTTTCATATATTATATAAACATTACGCAGAAGATTTCATTTTCTACAGTAAATAGATTGTGCAAGTATTATACATTTTCTATGAAAGTCAAATGAAATGCTAATTTCTACAAAAGTCTCAGTAACTTCTACTCACCTTGATCATGTCGGTGCCATATTTGCGAGAAAGTTCATCCAGTGTCAGCTTGTGGTCATCCTGATAAAGAGCAAAACAGCTTAAATCTTACTTCACCACAGAAAGTCACACTTTTGATGTGAAAAATAACGTCTTGGTTATCATTTCAAATCATATTATCAGCATTATGGTGATACAGCCTCCATGTCCTAGCTGACATGATAATGTGATGTGATGCATGCAGGAATTCCTCACCAGTTCAACTTCTTTCTTCAGTTCATCCACATCCTTCTTCCTCTTTCCCTTTTTAGTCTTTTTGAGTTCATCCTCAGATGTTGGTGTCAACCTGTAGTCATCATTCCCTGTCTATAAAACAAAAACACACCAAATCATACTGAAATATCAGCAGAATCAAACATTCAAGCAGACTGATTTAAGAAGCCACCAGCATACACCTGCATGGAAATGCATGCTGGCTTATGCTGGTTCAGTGCTAGTATGCAGGTTTAGCTTCCGTTTAGGACCAACCAGTTCACCAGCATCCAAATCACATATGGTATAATCAAGATACTCCACTTACTCCAAGCCCCATTTTTCAAGATTATTTCAACCCAAATTTTGCCTTGTTGACTTGTTTGGAGACACAAGTGTCTGTCTGGCCATGCAAAAGTCACTAAATTTATAATCTGCCAGCTCACCTGTGTTTTGGGAGGAGATCGGAGAGATTTTGGGAGGGGTTTGACGCCTCTCATCCTTAACCTTTCATTTATTTAACCTTCATCCACACAGGAAAGTTGTTTTAGTGACACCCATGACAAGGGCTGGTCTAATTTTTGTTTGACTTATTCTACTATAAAGTTTGTTATTTTCCAGAAAGATATTGTAAACAAATACGCAAGAAAATATTGTTGCATTGTAAAATAATGATAGAAATAAAAGAAGAAAAACTATTCTGAGCAAGTAACTTGTTAAATCCTGCTAAATACAGCGGGATTAATGTAAAAGTTTCTCATACAAACATTAATAAAACGTGTGTAAAGGTGTAAACCAAAGCTATTATAATTGACTAAAATTAATCATTTTAGTTTTTTGTTACTTCAAATAACAAAATATTATATATATATATATATATATATATATATATATATATATATATATATGTATATATATATATATATATATATATATATATATGTGTGTGTGTGTGTATATATATATGTATGTAAACATTTAATTTTAGCTAGTAACAAGAAAATATTTCGTATTTAGTCTCAATTAAAAACAATAAATGAATGTGATGCAAAAATATATAATTAAAATTGATAATAAATTATAACAAAATTTAAAAAAAAATTATAATACAATTACAAAAGGAATAACAACTGCAGAAGTACTTTTCACTAATAAATAAAAAAGTAATCATCATTAATAATCAAAGTCAGCTTTATTGTCAATTCAACCACATTACAGGAGATATAGAGAATCGAAATTACGTTACTCTCAGACCCTAGGTGCCTAACATATAATATTAATATAAAAAGTAGAGTTTTAAGAAAGAATTTACAATAAATACAATTACACATAAAATGTAATCTAAAAATATACATAAAATGTTGTCTAAAGAATAAACATTTGTAAACAATACAATACAATGACATTAAGGGCAAATGGCAATGAGTGCAAACCAGAGTTGTGCAGATATAGAACAGTATATAGTGCAAAAAGGGTTATAAACATGAGAATTATGATAATAACAACAAAACTAAACACCAGTCTTAACATGCACTCTCCGCTTTCATGCTTCAGCAGTACTCAGATCATTTCCACAAACAGACCAAAGAGCACAGCTTGATTTCTATGAAATAAAGAAGATAAAGCAATGAGAGCTTTTATTTCGTCTACTGTGGCCGTCGGGTCTGTTAGAGGTGGAACGAGCAGCCGTGAGCTGGAACTGTACAAACAATCCACTCTGATCAATATCAGTCCGGCACTTTATGACTTCTTTGAAGCCGAAACAACTGTTTACACGCTTCACTCTTTGCTGTGGGTCATTACAGATATCGCTAGTCTTACAGATGATCAAGTGAGAATATACACATGAATCAGTTGTGATGTTTAAATGGTATTTTATTACTGTGGCATTTTATTTAATGAAATATTTCTCTGTTCCCTTTTAAACACCCCAGTGTTGCTCACTATCAGCATTATCTGAGAATGCTGGTGAACTTTAATTGGTTAACCAGCATTAACAGCCACGTTCAGCATGGCTTTCCTGGTCTAAGAACAAATCAACATGCATGAAACTTTTGGCTTTTGAAGGTTGACTTCTGAACTGCTTTTGCATTTGTAATGAATCTGAAGGCAGAATCGAGTCTTATACATTGTGAGTTTGAGATTGACTTTCTCTGTGTTTTGTCAACTGTTTGCTGTCTGTTGTCAGTCAACAGAGCTCCTGTCCTTCACAATGCCTGAGAGGTTCAGCCCACACTCAGCTCTACAGATGCACGGATATAGGTGAAGTACTGGTTTATGTTACTCATTAACACAGAAATAAATAATGCAATTACATTCTATCACACTCACAGTCTATCACCAAATCATGTAGTTTACAGTGTTGCTCTGCAACAAGGTTTGCATTTTTCGGCCCTCAAAGGGATGTTGTTCCTTCCCCTGAACAAAACTGGTCCATGTCATTCCATCAAGGGTGTAAGGGGGAAAATGTTTTTGATTGAATTCCATTTCCTGTATTTACATATACAGTGCTCAGCATATACGAGTACACCCCATTTTGAAAATGAATATTTATATCCATTTCTCAGTGAATATTGGTAAAATATATTGGTGCATTTAAACAAAACAGATTTATTAAACAGATATAGTTATTAAAATATCATTTTAGTTGCAGAACATCTTTAGAAATGGACAGATGATACATTTAAATTCATGCAGAATGGTGCATTTTTAAAAAATAGATTTTTAGTTTCTTTTGATTTTTGCTATTTTTGAAAATGTGATTTAATATTTTAAATAGGGCGAGGCAGTGGCGCAGTAGGCAGTGCTGTCGCCTCACAGCAAGAAGGTCGCTGGGTCACTGGTTCGAACCTCGGCTCAGTTGGCGTTTCTGTGTGGAGTTTGCATGTTCTCCCTGCCTTCGCGTGGGTTTCCTCTGGGTGCTCCGGTTTCTCACACAGTCCAAAGACATGTGGTACAGGTGAATTGGGTAGGCTAAATTGTCCGTAGTGTATGAGTGTGTGTGTGTGGATGTTTCCCAGAGATGGGTTGCGGCTGGAAGGGCATCCGCTGCGTAAAAACTTGCTGAATAAGTTGGCGGTTCAATCCGCTGTGGCGACCCCGGATTAATAAAGGGACTAAGCCGACAAATCAATAAATGAATGAATAAATATTTTAAATAAAAATACAATTCATAAATATACCAGATAAATAAGCTTTCCATTGATGCATGGTTTTTAGGACAATATTGGTTGAGATTCAACTCAAAGAAATGTGAAAATCTGGAATCTGACATTTAAAAACAAACAAATACTGAATAATATCTAAAAAACAAATCAAGTTCTGAGCCATGCTTAATACTCATCAAAAATTATGTTTTGATATATTTATGATTGGAAATTTCCGAAGCTCGTTTGTGGAACATGATTTTGCCATTAAATAAAAATAAATCACAAATTTTGCCCCATGCCATGTATTTTGGGCTATTCTCACAATTATACTCATGCAACATAAGACACTTGCATACAAAATACAAGAAAAATGTAAACCAAATAGAAATACTGAAAAAATTAGAAAATTGTAATATATATATATATATATATATATATATATATATATATATATATATATATATATATATATATATATATATATATATATATATATTTATTTTTTTTTTTTAGTACAGTTAGTGGTATATCCAGAGAGGCAATTGCAGATTAGGAAGTGAAGTGGAGACTAAATAGTTGAGTTTTAGTAGTTTCTTGAAGACAGCGAGTGACTCTGCTGTTCTGATGCAGTTAGGGAGTTCATTCCACCAACTGGGCAGATTGAATGTGAGAGTTCGGGAAAGTGATTTCTTCCCTCTTTGGGATGGAACCACGAGGCGACGTTCATTCACAGAACGCAAGTTTCTGGAGGGCACATACATCTGCAGAAGTGAGAGCAGATAAGAAGGAACAAAGCCAGAGATCGCTTTGTAAGCAAACATCAGAGCTTTGAATTTGATGCGAGCAGCAACTGGCAGCCAGTGCAAACGGATGAGCAGCGGAGGGACATGTGCTCTTTTAGGTTCATTAAAGACCACTCGTGCTGCTGCGTTCTGAAGCAGCTGAAGAGGTTTGATAGAGTTAGCTGGAAGCCCGGCTAGTAGAGAGTTGCAATAGTCCAGTCTGGAGAGAACAAGAGCTTAAACAAGGAGTTGAGCTGCATGTTCAGATAGGAAGGGTCGAATCTTTCTGATGTTATAGAGTGCGAATCTGCACGATCGAGCAGTTCTAGAAATGTGGTCAGAGAAGTTTAGTTGGTCATCAATCGTTACTCCAAGGCTTTTCACCATTTTGGATGCAGTAATGGTTTCCCCATCCATCTGGATTGAAAAAGTTATGACATTTTTTTAAATAGTGATGTGCCTTTTTATACAGCGTATGTAAACTTCTGGTTTTAACTGTACGTCTGTCATCTGTCACCACATAAGAGAAAAAGGCATTCAAGAAAATCATTAAAAATGACATGTACCCAATTGAACTATGACAGAAAATAATTTAAACATGGACAAAAGAAGGTGGCATTGCAATTTTTACAACAAACTTTATAGTGCAAAGTTACAACTGAACGCTGGTTAAAAGCCGATCTTATCAGAAATGTTTTCATAATTTTATGTGTTGAGCAGAAATCCACTTATGTTAGTTATGTTAGCTGGGTTTGCAGCTCAATAAATGCTCCATCTGGCCTGAACAGGGCGTTCTGGAAGTTACAATGTTTACACTGAGCATCAAAGTTGCATAAAATTGAACAAAAGTTATATATATATAAGATGACTCCTTCAGTTTGCTCCTTACCTTTGACCTGCTCTGCCTAAAACTGGTTCTGCTGTCAAAGATCAGTGCGGGTTTTGTCCTTACGCTATTACTGCTGCCTTATTTAAATAGATTTATACGCTTGTTTTTGGTTCTAATGAATATCTGCCACTTATTAACTTCAGCAGGTTTAGAGTCATTGCTCAACCTGTTCAAAGAAAGCAGTGGACTTGCATTACACTGATCTACCAAGCAACTGCTTCTGTATTTCGCAGAATTCATGTGAATAATAGAAACAACAGTAATAAAAGTTTGTTGGTTCTTGATATCGCAAACACTATGCACTCTAGGCCTCTCTGTTTTCTATCAAAATATAACAGCAATAAATTTTATTATGAACAAATCAGCCTAATAATAGAGCAGCAACCGAAACAGATGCACTTCCATAGGTTAAAATAAAAATGTAAATTCTTCTGACTGAAACACATGGATTCCTCAACAGCTCTGTTTAAACACTGCCTGCTATATAGATGGTTGTAAATCAAAGAGGAAAATACTCTTTCATTGTTCAATTGGGATTTCTTTGATATATTGAAATTTCTTCGCAATTATTTATGAAATGTACTAACAGGTTCTGAGAGAAAATCATTTGTAACTGAGGCTTATTTGTTGTACAGTGCTCAGTGTAAATGAGTAAACTTCTTTTTAAAAATAAATATTTTTTATCCATTTCTCAGTGAATATGGACTATTTATTTTGGTGCATTTAAACAAAAATATTTACAGATTATATTCATTAAAATCAGTGTTGGTTGTCTAATGTTTTTAGAAATACAAAGATAATTATATTTGTTTAAATTGGATTTAAAAACTGTCCCTATGATTTTGTCCCTATCATTTTCAGGTTATTTGGAAGTTATTTCTTATCTTGAAATTAGCTCCATTTCCCAGAGATGGGTTGCAGCTGGAAGGGCATCTGCTGTGTAAAAACTTGCTGGATAAGTTGGTGGTTCATTCCGCTGTGGCGACCCCACATTGATAAAGGGACTAAGCCGACAAGAAAATTAATGAATGAATAAAATTAGCTCCAGTTTTGGTTTTGGTAAACTGTAAAAAAAATATATGATCAATTAGTCCTGAGAGCATATAGGTCATTGTAACTTATTAAACTAAGTTAATCATGTTCTCACTTAATTCTATTAAAAATTAAAGTTATGCAAGCTGTTTTACGTCAGTGTAACATAATATTCATAAAAGTTTAATGGACTCATAAGGTTAATTAATAAAGCAGTCAGTAAATCAGCATACTATCATCTCAAAAACATAGCAAGAATCAGATGCTTTGTTTCTAGTGAAGATTTAGAGAAACTTGTTCATGCTTTTATCAGCAGCAGGGTGGATTACTGTAATGGACTTCTCACTGGTCTTCCTAAAAAGACACTCAGACAGTTACAGCTCATCCAGAACGCTGCAGCCAGAATTCTAACCAGAACCAGAAAATCAGAGCACATCACACCTGTCCTCAGGTCTTTACACTGGCTGCCAGTTACATTCAGAATAGATTTTAAAGTATTATTACTGGTCTATAAATCACTAAATGGCCTAGGACCTAAATACATCACAGATATGCTCACTGAATACAAACCTAACAGATCACTAAGATCTTTAGGATCATATAAACTAGAAGTTCCAAGAGTTCAGTCAAAGCAGGGTGAATCTGCTTTTAGCCACTACGCCCCTCGCTGCTGGAATCAGCTTCCAGAAATGATCAGATGTGCTCCAACATTAGGCACATACAAATCAAGACTGAAAGCACATCTGTTTAGCTGTGCCTTTACTGAATGAGCACTGTGCTGCGTCTGACAGATTGCACTATCATGTTTTTCTCTTCTTCTTCATTCTTTTATTTCACATTTTACCTGTTTTTATGTTTTGTTTTGACACATTTTTATTAGTTGTTTTTATTTTTATTTTACTTGTTTCTTTTATTCTTGTTTATGTAAAGCACTTTGAATTGCCACTGTGTATGAAATGTGCCATATAAATAAACTTGCCTTGCCTTGCCTTGCCTAATTTGATTCAGCTTAAAAATTTAAGGCAGCCAGGATTTTTTACCGTGTACTGACTAATCTAATGTATATGCACAAATATAATATCATATATCAGCCTTTAGATATAACTATTTTACAAGAGAGATCTGTAAGGGTTGCACTCATTTATGCTGAATGCTGTATGTCTGAATTCTGAATTTGGTAAGTTTTACATTTTGTTATTTTAATACAGCACAAATAAATACATGTTACATTGTGGGGTTGAAAATTGCATCGTGCAACTATTTTAATGGAAATGCTCGTGATATTCAGGAAAAATAGAGCAGAATCACTTTCTGAAGCTCATGTCACTTTAACAAAGGCAGATGTCTTAATAACATTTTGGTATCATAAAAATCCTAAAAAAAATGTAAGCAAAAACATTTAAATGAAAAACGTATGACGTCCTTGAATCTACATTGTAAGCCTAAATAAATAAGCTGTGTACCACTGCTGTTATGGAAACATTCAACCTTAAAGGAGCCTGTTTAAAAAACAATTAAATCCAGTATTTAAAATGTTAAATTCCTCCTCCATTGTGACCTTGCACAAAAGAAGAGCAATTTTTTCAGAACAGTGCAGCGAGGCTGATTATAAATAAAATATATATTTTACTAGACAATATATCTTCCATAAAATATGATCAATATGTGATGTAAACAGAATGGCTTAAAGATGTGTTTTTAAGTTAATTAAGTAAGAAGATTAAAGTACAGGGTCCTTAATATAAAGTGGGACCAGTTATATTTAATCTATAGGTCACACTTTACAATAAGTTAATGTTAATTAATGCATTTACTAACATGAACAAACAATGAACAATACATTTACTACAGTATTTATTCATGTTAGTTAACGTTAGTTAATGAAAATACCGTTAATCATTGTTAATGTTAACTCATGGTGCATTAGCTAATGTTAACAAGTATGGACTTGGATGTCAATAATGCATTAGTAAATGTTCAATTATGATTAATAAATGCTGTACAAGTGTTGTTCATGATTAGTTCATGTTAGTAAATGCATTAACTAATTAATCTTATTGTAAAGTGTTACCAATCTATAATATTATTACAATATATATTCCTTGCAAACTATACTGTCAATATAACTAGCACAGTTTTAAAACACATTTAAACAAAAGCTGACCGAATATTTGATTAATTACCAAGTCTGTTCAATCACATGTTCACGTTTTCACTGTTTTCCTCCTAAACTTCATCTTTAGGTTGAGGGTGACCCATGTGGAGGTGAAAGCAGATTAAGAGAGCAAAGACAAAACAAGCAGATTAGCCAAATGTCTGACCGGTTTCTCTTCAGGATACAGAGCATCATCAGAGGTCAGAGATTTCCACTTCAAACAATACTTTAAACACATGAACATGCATGAAACAGATGATCAGTCAAAGCCCATTCACGTGATTCAGAAACAAATGTATGCAAAAGGGCAAATCAACGGTTGATTCAATAGAAATAATGACGTCTGAATTCTGTTGAAGGGAATTGATGATACTGAGAATTTCAAGAGGAAAATGATTGTCATTTCAAAATACTGAAAGATTTTTTTCAAAGCCCAGAGAAAAATGTTATTATTAGAAGCTGCGGTTTGATGGCAGTAATTGGCTTTCTGAGAAAGTAAACACTTGAAGACTTTGATTGTGTGTTACTGGAGAAACAGATGCAACCTAATACTGTCCTCTCACCTCTCAAACTGCAGTTGATAGAATGAACCTGATTGAGCTGGTCACATTAAAGAGACAGTACGGTATCACTTTATTTTGATGGTCCCTTTAATGCGTTTTGTTGAATTTAAGTTACATTGCATCTACAGTTGAAGTCAGAATTATTAGCCCCCCTGAATTATTAGCGCCCCTGTTTATTTTTTTCCCCCAATTTCTGTTTAATGGAGGGAAGATTGTTTCAGCTCATTTCTAAGCATAATAGTTTTAGAAACTTATTTCTAATAACTGATTTATTTTATCTTTGTCATGATGACAGTAAACAATATTTGACTAGATATTTTTCAAGACACTTCTATACAGCTTAAAGTGACATTTAAAGGCTGAACTAGGTTAATTAGAAAGGTTTAGGTTAGGTTAACTAGGCAGGTTAGGGTAATTAGGCAAGTTATTGTACAACAGTGGTTTGTTCTGTAGACTATCAAGTAAAATTTTAGCTTAAAGGGGTTAATAATTTTGTCCCTAAAATGGTGTTTAAAAAATTTAAGACTGCTTTTATTCTAACCGAAATAAAACAAATAAGACTTTTTCGAGAAGAAAAAATATTATCAGACAAACTGTGAAAATTTCCTTGCTCTGTTAAACATCATTTGGGAAATAATTAAAAAAGAAGATAAATGTAAGGGGGCTAATAATTCTGACTTCAACTGTACATGCCAACTAATCTCAATAGTTTATAAGTAGACTGTTAGGTTGGGTTAGTGTAAGTGTAAGGTGATGTAAGGTGCGAGGCAGTGGTGCAGTAGGTAGTGCTGTCGACCCCACAACAAGAAGGTCGCTGAGTCGCTGGTTCGAGCCTAGGCTCAGTTGACGTTTCTGTGTGGAGTTTGCATGTTCTCCCTGCGTTCGTGTGGGTTTCCTTTGGGTGCTTCGGTTTCCCCCACAATCCACAGACATGTGCTACAGGTGAATTGGGTGGGCTAAATTGTCCATAGTGTATGAGTGTGTGTGTGGATGTTTCCCAGAGATGGGTTGCGGCCGGAAGGGCATCAGCTGCGTAAAAACTTGCTGGATAAGTTGGCGGTTCATTCCGCTGTGGTGACCCTAGATTAATAAAGGGACTAAGCCGACAAGAAAATGAGTGAATGAAGTTTCTTATAGACCGTTTTCTTGGCTGCTGCATGGAGGGCGCCATATCGACCAGCGTCTTCAGGTAGAATGCTTAAAACTTCTGTTTACAGTGTTTACAATGGGTCTTTTAGATCGCACTATTATGTTTTTCGTTTTCTTTTTCATTCTTTTATAGCCTATTTTAAATCATTTTAATTTGTTTTTATCTGTTTTTAATAATTTTTATTGTCTGCATTTTATGTTCCTAAACTTGTCTTTTTTATTCCTGTTTATGTAAAGCACTTTGAATTGCCACTGTGTATGAAATGTGCTATATAAATAAACTTGCCTTGCCTTTTGCGCTCCGAAAATGGGCTTTAATAGCATTTTTAATGGATTACAGAGTGTTTTTGCGACACACAACTTAGAAAGTTGAAAGTTAAAGCTGTTATAATCTGTCAGATGTGGTTCAAGCGCGAGAGAAAAACGTTCTAGTTCACATGTCTGCCGTCAGAAATACTGTATGTGTGTGTGTGTGTGTGTTTCCCCAGCCTGTCAGCTTTGAGCTCCGCGGCTCTTCAACACACACACACACACACACACACACACACACACACGCACACACACACACACACGCACACACACACACACACACACACACACACACACACACACACACACACACGCACACACACACACACACACACACACACACACACACGCACACACACACACAATACTTCACTGCATTATAGAGCAAACCAGAGTACTGGCATGAAACTTAACAGGTATGTAAGTCATGCAATTAAAAAAATGACCTATACAAGTCTGTTATTGATCCTCTGCTGGCTGATTTGCTGTTCATTCTAATCACGAGCCGTTTATGTTTAATTTCATGTGTTTTTTTTATGACGGTGTGTGTTTTTCTGTCATTTTAAAATGACACTCGCCTATATTTTCACTTTGTCACAGTTATTAAATCAGTGTGTCAGATGGACAGTGTGTGTGACAAACATTTTGCAGAATTATCTATATTATATATTTATAGAATCACACTAAACAAAATCCTAACATAGGTGAAATTATTTTTGTCATTTAGTATAACAGATATGTTCATATAAATATTGAACACTTATTCTGAGCTGGAAAAAAATACAAATTCTAATATATTAAATAAATTACTATAAACATCTTGTTAGATGTGTAAAACACAATGGTTTTAATGCACCAATATTAGTATGTAAATTCTTATTTTATGTATTACATGAATAATTCTTTTTCTTAATGATATATAATATTATGAGCAAGCAAACTAAATGCAAGTGCTCAATCTGATCTGAAGCCAAAGATACTTATTCATAAGTGTGTATTAAATATCTGACAGGAGCAATAAAAAAGAGAGATGGAGACTGAAGAAGGGACAGGCTATAGAGCTTAGCTGATTAAATTACTGCACCAAAAGCTGCTTTGCCAAACTCACAAACACAAATAAGCCAATGCATTAGTTGTGCCTCGTATAGATTGTCAGATACTGAGATTCCCTGAATATGTATAATGATAAAATGTAAAAATCCTGGGTTGTTTTAATCTATCACTGGGTCAAAAACTTAACAATCACAACACTTGGGTTGAAACATATAAATTAAATATAATATAAAAAGATCAATCCAATGTTCTCCCCGTGTTGGAGTGGGTTTCCTCTGGGTGCTCCGGTTTGCCCTACAGTCCAAACACATGCAGTACAGGTGAACTGGGTAGGCTAAATTGTCTGTAGTGTATGTGTGTGAATGGATGTGTAAGGATGTTTCCCAGTGATGGTTTGCAGCTAGAAGGGCATCCGCTGCGTAAAACATATGCTGGATAAGTTGGCGGTTCATTCCGCTGTGGAGACCCCGGATTAATAAAGGGACTAGGTCAAAAAGAAAATGAATGAATGTTGGGTTAATACGACCCAGCATATTTTGAATACAATACAATTAAGTAGGCGAGGCAGTGGTGCAGTAGGTAGTGCTGTCTCCTCACAGCAAGAAGGTCGCTGGTTCGAACCTCGGCTCAGTTAGCGTTTCTGTGTTGAGTTTGCATGTTCTCCCTGCCTTCGCGTGGGTTTCCTCCGGGTGCTCCGGTTTCCCCCACAGTCAAAAGACATGTGGTACAGGTGAATTGGGTAGGCTAAATTGTCCGTAGTGTGTGTGTGAATGTGTGTGTGGATGTTTCCCAGACATGGGTTGCAGCTGGAAGGGCATCCACTGCGTAAAAACTTGCTGGATAAGTTGGCGGTTCATTCCGCTGTGGCGACCCCGGATTAATAAAGGGACTAAGCCGACAAGAAAATGAATGAATGAATGAATGAATAAACAATTAAGTAGTAATTTGTGTGTATCCACCAGAAGTACAGTGAACTTGTTTATAGTTATATTTATTATCCACAATAAGTAAATAACTGGAAGAATAATAACTAGCATTAAACACAAAAAATAATCATTTACATACCATAAAAGGCATATTTGTTAGCCCTCCTGTTACATTTTTCTTCTTTATTTAAATATTTTATAAGTTATATTTAATGTAGCGATGACATTTTCACAGTATTTCTTAAAATATTTTTTTCATTTTTCAGTTTGGCTGCAATAAAAGCAGTTTTTAAATATTTAAGGTCAATATTATTAACCCTTTAAAGATTGGTTTTTCATTGCCACTGCTGTCCAATAACTTCCCTAATTAAACCTAGTTAAGTTAATTTGTTAAATCTTAGAACATGTACTTAAAGCTGAATACTGGTATCTTCATTCATTCATTCTAATTAATCAGGGGTCACCACAGCGGAATGAACCGCCAACTTATCCAGCACGTGTTTTACACAGCGAATGCCCTTCCAGCTGCAACCCATCTCTGGGAAGCATCCAAACACACTCATACACTATGAACAATTTAGCCTACCCAATCCACCTGTACCACGTGTCTTAGAAAACCCACGCGAACACAGGGAGAACATGCAAACTCCACACAGAAACGCCAAGAGCCAGCCAAGACTCGAGCCAGCGACCTTCTTGCTGTGAGGCGACAGCACTACCAACTGCGCCACTGCGTCGCAATACTAGTATCTTGTAAAATATGAAAAACTAATAATTAATAATAATTCATTATTAGGGGCGACGCAGTGGCGCAGTGGGTAGCACGTTCGCCTCACAGCAAGAAGGTCGCTGGGTCACTGGTTCGATCCTCGGCTAAGTTGCTGTTTCTGTGTGGAGTTTGCATGTTCTCCCTGCGTTCGCGTGGGTTTCCTCCGGGTACTCCGGTTTCCCCCACAGTCCAAAGACATGTGGTACAGGTGAATTGGGTAGGCTAAATTGTCCGTAGTGTGTGTGTGTATATGTGGATGTTTCCCAGAGATGGGTTGCGGCTAGAAGGGCATCCGTTGCGTAAAAACTTGCTGGATAAGTTGGCGGTTCATTCCGCTGTGGCGACCCAGGATTAATAAAGGGACTAAGCCGACAAGAAAATGAAATGAAATAAATTAATTATTAGAAATTTGTTATTAAAACTACTAAAATTTCTCTGTTAAAAAGTGCTTGGGATTTTATGGAAAGAATTTAAATTTCACGTGAGGGCGAATAATTTTTTTTAGCTGTATATTGAAAGGATATATGAGACTCCAGTATTGCGATAAGTAAACGTAAGCTGCATCTGCTCTCATACATAAAGAAGAAATCAACTGCAGAGCACGCCACACCCGGTGCTCATATCTACACTTTCTGCATGTAACAGGCAGATGGCGCTGTTTGCATTCTGCAGGGATGAACATTTATTTCAGCGAAACACCAGATGGAGCTGAAGCTCTGTTTTATTTTTACTCAAACACAAAATAAAACCATAGTCTTTCCCTGAAATCTACCAATCATCAGTTTAGAATAACAGCATTGTGTTGGTCCTGATGTTTATAAAAGTAACCCACAGCTAACTTTGCTTTCTTGTTTTTACTTTTAAATGCAGCAGTTATAGTCAATGAAGGGCCCATTGGAGACTGAAGGCAGAGAGATGTCAGTATATATCACAATGCTCTTTTAATGAATGCCACAGCATACTGTAGTGTTAACAAGTGAACTGATGTATTTTTATATTTACGACATTATGTGGTTATATATAGAAAACGACAGTATTGTGGCTAAGTGGTTTGCACTGTTGCCCTACAGCAAGAAGATTGTCACAGTTGACATTTCTGTGTGGAGTTTGCATGTTCTCCCCGCGTTCGTGTGGGTTTCCTCCGGGTGCTCCGGGTTTCCAAACACATGAGCTATAGGGGAATTGAGTAAACTATATTGTCCATAGTGTATAAGTGTTTGTGTTAATGAGTGTGTATTGGTGTTTTCCAGTACTGGGATGTGGCTAGAAGGGCATCTGCTGAGTAAAGCATATGCTGGAATAGTTGGCAGTTCATTCCGCTGTGGCAACCCCTGATAAATAAGGGACTAAGTCGAAGGTAAATGAATGAATGAAAACTACAGTAGTGGGTGTTTGTTTGTATAGTTATATCACCACAGCAGCTATAGAATTACCACAACAAATTAATGAAAGTACTTCACTATAGTATGCTTCAGAAACACTGTAGTGTTTACTACTGTACTGCTGTTTCAATTGGGACACAACATAGCCGGGATTATTGTATTAATAAACAGATGAATATTGGTGTTGGAATCTGGATAATTCATATCTGTCAGTGTGTTTTCCTATTTCTGTTGTGTCTGTTTGGCTCAAATGTACTGAATGATTGTGGCGGTGTTTCAGTGAGCGTCACGTGACTCTGGCAGATTTGCTCAATCGCTCAGAGAATGTCATATTACAGTCATTGTTCTTTCTGTGCTATTTTAATAGCTAGAAAATCCTCCTTTGTGCTGTTGATGAAGAGCGTACAAATGTGTGAGAATTACGAAAAACAATAAGAAATTAACACGGATTAATGAAAGCTCAGCCATTAAGGCTGCAATTATGTGAACAATTCATTCATTCATTCATTTTCTTGTCGGCTTAGTCCCTTTATTAATCCGGGGTCGCCACAGCGGAATGAACCGCCAACTTATCCAGCAAGTTTTTTATGCAGCGGATGCCCTTCCAGCCGCAACCCATCTATGGGAAACATCCACACACACATTCATTCACACACTCATACACTACAGACAATTTAGCCTACCCAATTCACCTGTACCGCATGTCTTTGGACTGTGGGGGAAACCAGAGCACCCGGAGGAAACCCACACGAATGCAGGGAGAACATGCAAACTCCACACAGAAACGCCAACTGAGCCGAGGTTCGAACCAGCGACCTTCTTGCAGTGAGGCGTCAGCAATACCTACTGCGCCACTGCATCGCCCTTATGTGAACAATGTCCTGTAAAAATATTAATATTGTGAAATGTTTACAAAATCCAACCAGTTTTATTTAGTAAATGTATTAAGATACTTTTTCTATTTAAATTGTACTTTACTCCAGGCTTCAGTGTCTCAAGAAGCTTTAGAAGTCATGCAGATATGATTATCTGATGATGGAGAAACATTAATGAGTGTTGTTAGTGTTGAAAACAGCTGCTTTGTATTTTACTAATTCATGATCAACAAAATAGCATTTATTTTAAATAGAAATAATTTGAGACACTAAATATCCTTAATTTGGTAAACAAAAGTATTAACCAGGTTTAAATATCTACACATTCACTCACTGGCCACTTTATTAGGTACACCTGTCCAACTGCTCATTAAGGCAAATTTCTAATCAGCCAGTCACATGGCAGCAACTCAATGCATTTAGGCATGCAGACGTGGTTGAGACGATCTGCTGCAGTTTAAACTGAGCATCAGAATGAGTGGCATGGTTGTTGGTGCCAGACGGGCTGGTCTGAGTATTTCAGAAACTGCTGATCTACTGGGATTTTCATGCACAACCTTCTCTAGAGTTTACAGGGAATGATCTGAAAAAGAGGAAATATCCAGTGAGCGGCAGTTCTGTGGGCGTAAATGCCTTGTTGATGCCAGAGGAGAATGGCCAGACTGGTTCCAGCTGTTAGAAAGGCAACAGTAACTCAAATAAGCACTCGTTACAACCGAGCTCTGCAGAAGAGCATCTCTGAACACACAACACATCCAACCTTGAGGTGGATGGGCTACAGCAGCAGAAGACCACACCGGGTGCCGCTCCTGTCAGCTAAGAACAGGAAACTGAGGCTACAATTCACACAGACTCACCAAAACTGGACAATAGAAGATTGGAGAAACGTTGCTGCTCTGATGAGTCTCCATTTCTGCTGTAACATTCGGATGCTCGGGTCAGAATTTGGCGTCAACAACATGAAAGCATGGATCATCCTGTCTTGTATCAGCGGTTCAGGCTGGTGGTGGGGGTTTAATGGTGTGGGGGAGATTTTCTTGGCACACTTTGGCTTATTAGTACCAATTGAGCATTGTGTCAACGCCACAGCCTACCTGAGTATTGTTGCTGACCATGTCCATCCCTTTATGAGCACAGTGTCTCCATCTTCTGATGGCTACTTCCAGCAGGATAACACACCATGTCATGAAGCTCAATAATCTCTGACTGGTTTCTTGAACATGACAATGAGTTCACTGTACTCAAATGGCCTCCACAGTCACCAGACATCAATCCAATAGAGCAGCTTTGGGATGTGGTGGAACGGGAGATTGGCATCATGGATGTGCAGCCGACAAATCTGCAGTAACTGAGTGATGCTATCATGTCAACATGGAGCAAAATCTCAGAGGAATATTTACAGTATCTTGTTGAGTTCTGAAGGCAAAATTGCGTCCAACCCGGTACGGTACTAGTAAGGTGTACCTAATAAAGTGGCCGGTGCGTGTACATATTTAGCAATACAATTAAATCCCAAAAGTGTGTGAGATATGAGTAAAAGGGAATTAGTGGATGTATAGTCAAATATTTCTGCTGTTTAAATCTGTAGTTTGCACCAGGCTTCATTGTCACATGATGCTTTAGAAATCATGCAGATATGATGATTTGATAATGGAGAAATATTAATAATAATTATTATTGTTGAAAACAGCTGATATGTGTTTTGCTAAAACCCTAATAAAAGCATTTATTTGAAACCCTAAATTTTTATCACTCTAAATATCATTAATGTCAATCTTAAAATCATTTTTAACACATCCTCATCAAACAAAAGTATTAATTGCTCATTAAAACTGCACACTTTTTAATGATTGTGTACGCATATTTTGCTTTATCTCTTATTTAATTGTCAAAATGACTAGTTTTTCCATTGTGTGTCAAGGAAAACCAACTGGAAAATGATGATGTTGTCCATTTGGAAACCTGACAGAGAGTTGCTGATGGAAAACGCAGAGTTTTTCAAAACATCTCAGGATGAAAATCAGCATGAGGGTGAGAAAATAATGGAAAAATTCTGATTTTTATTCAAATGATGAGTGTAAAAGAGCACATATTTTTCCTCACTGAATCTGTTTTCTCTGTAACATCACCAGCTCTCTTTTTTCCATCAGATAAATGCAGCTCACGTGTGAAGCCGGATCAGAGCTGCTGGATTGTGTAACAAGAGGAATGTTTGGGAATCTCAGAGAGCTATTGCATTGTTCACAGCCATGTGAGAAGGAGTCAGAGGTCAAACACAGTGGCACGCAAAACAAAGAGGCGAGTGAAGCAACAAGGACATATCTGAAGCCCTTTCACAAGGTCATTGAAGATCACAGAAGCCAATATACTGTATAGTGCATTTAAACCTAATATTGGATTGAAAATATTTTAGAAAAAAATACGATGAATTGGGAATTTTGGATATATTAGCATTTTAGTTAGCGCCTATTAGGGTTGCATTGCCAGAAACTAAAAGTTAGCTACGTTATTTGGGCTTTATTTATTCCTGCATAATATTTATAGACATGTAGTTGGATTCAATTTCAGATTAAAGATAAAAGTATACATTAATCATTATAATGCATTTGAAAATCTGTACTATTTTGCGCTTCATTATTTGACAAAGCATTAAAAAACTTATTATTTTTGTTTAAACCCATATTGTATTTGTTTTAAACCCATATTGTATTTGTTTTGAGCAACTTATTTTATCAAAAAATGCTAATGTGTGAATTGTAATGTTATATGAATTACAAAAGGGAGATTTTAAATTGCACATTAACCAGTTTCAAGTATACAAGTTTAGCAATAAAACTAAGTCCAAAAAGTGTGAGATAAAGTGTGAATTATGTTTTAGAACATATTTTAATAATAATATTATAACTTTTTTTGTTTTTCTGACATTATTGACAAAACACAAACGTGAAATGCGTCACATAAAACTAAATATTTCTTTAAAATGCCTGATTAAAAAATGCATGCTTATTTCTAGTTTCTTACTGCTTTTGAAAAGCTGTTTTTGTTGTTTATGTATCTCTTTTATTTTAATAACTTTATATTTTTTATTAATATTGCATTGCCAGAAACGAAAATTTTGCATGATAATTTGTGCTTAATTTATTTCTGCATAATATTTATTGAGTTGAAGTTTTTAAATTTAAGATTAAAGATTAAATTTTGCATAAAATCTGTCCAATTTTGCATTTCATTATTTTATAAAACAGTAAATACTTTAATATTTCTGTTTAAAACCAGATTATATTTCATTTGAGCAACTTATAATGCTTAAAACTGCTAATGTTTAGAAAGTTACTATGTTTTTATGATAGTATTATCACATATACCCATTTTATATGAAGTATGAAAGGGAGATTTTAAATGGCACATTAACCAGTTGTAAATAAGTGTAAATATACAAGTTTGGCAATTAAAAAGTCAATACAAAAGTCAGAAGTGTAATATAAAGTGTGAATTATGTTTTAGAACATATTTTAGCTATGAAATTATAACTCTTTTGACTTTTTGACATTATTGACAAAACACAAACATAAAATGCGTTACATAAAACTAAATATTTCTTAAAAATGCCTGAGAATTGAAAAAAAAAATCACTTTCTAGTTTCTTACAGCATTTGAAAAGCTGTTTTTTTATTGTTTATGTATCTCTTCTATATAAATAGAGAACTTTGGAATTAATATTCTAATGAGGTTATATATTTAATTAAATTAAATTAATTTATTAAATTGCATTGCCGGAAACAAAAAAATATTCTATTTAGTCCTGCATAATATTTATAGAGTTTTAGTTGTATTTAATTAAAGATTAAAGATAGAATTATACACGAATATAACCTCATAACGCATTTAAAATCTGTAATATTTAGCATTTCATTATTGTAAACTTCATTACAGTAAATAAATTAATATTTTTGTTTAAAACCATATTATATTTGATTTGAGCAACTTATTATGGTAAATATGCTAATGTCTAGAAAGTTACTATGTTTTTATGATAGAATTACCACATTCAGTTCTTAATATTCAGTTTTTAAATATTTCCCAAATGATGTTTAACAGAGCAAGGAGATGTTCACAGTTTGTCTGATAATATTTTTTCTTCTGGAGAAAGTCTTACATGTTTTATTTCGGCTCAAATAAAAGCAGTTTTAAAGTTTTTTAACATCCATTTTAAGGTTAAAATTATTAGCCCCTTTAAGCAATTTTTTTTCAATAGTCGACAGAACAAGCCACTGTTATACAATATCTTGCTTAATTACTCTAACCTGCCTAGTTAACCTAATTAACCTGCCTAGTTAAGCCTTCAAATGTCACTTTTTGAAAATCTTGAAGAAAATCTAGTCATATATTATTTACTGTCATCATGACAAAGATGAAATAAATCAGTTATTAGAGATGAATTATTAACACTATTATGATTAGAAATGTGCTGGAAAAAAATCTCTACATTAAACAGAAATTGGGGAAATAATAAACAGGGGGGCTTATAATTCTGACTTCAGCTTTATACCCATTTTATATGAATAATAATAATAATAATAATTAGCAATAAGATTAAATCTAAAAGTGTGTGAGATAAAGTAGTAAAATATTTTAACACTAATGTTTAGATTTTTTTGACAATATTAACAAAACACAAACATGAAACCTGTTGCATGAAAAGTTCTTTAAAATGCCTGATAAATAAAAAACGCATGCTTATTTCTAGTTTCTTACAGCATTTGAAAAGCTGTTGGTTATGCATCTCTTTTAGATAAATTGGGAACTTTGGTTGCATTGCCAGAAGCAAATTTGTTTGATAATTTGTGCTTTATTTATTCCTGCATAATAATTATTGATGTAGTTTAATTTAAGATTAAAGATGAAATTTTGCATAAAACCTCATGACGCATTTAAACTCTGTACTATTTTGCGTTTCTTTATTGTATAAAGCAGTAAATAACTTAATATATTTGTTAAAACCCTATTATATTTTATGTGAGCAACTTATTATGGTAAATGTTTAGAAATGTACCATGTTTTTTATGATAGTATTACCACATATACCCTTTTAATATGAATGATATAAGTGAGATTTTAAAATCACACATTAACCAGTTGTAATTAAGAGTAAATATACAGGTTTAGCAATAAAACTGTCCAAAAAGTGTGAGATAAAGTGAGATAAAAGATGTTTTAACACTAATATTTTTATTTTTTGACATTATTGACAAAACACAAACATGGAACATGTTACATAAACAGTTATATTTATTAAAAAAGCCTGATTAATAAAAAATGCATGCTCATTTCAAGTTTCTTACAGCATTTGAGAAGCTGTTTATGCATTTCTTCTAAATCAAAACAGACCTTAATGCATTCTGAGTATTCAGTTGTACGTTTATAATCATGTGACGATGAGTTAACTGTGTGAAAAGTGATTCAGAGTTGTGTTTATTTCTGTCAGCCGATGCGTGTCGAGCGAGACTGAGTTTCCAGGATGGTGAGAATTATAACACACAGCTCACACTCCACACTGAGGATCATGAACCCACAGCTGTTACACGAAACTAAAAATGAGCTCAAAACAAAGGGGACAAATATCCCGTAGGAAAAGAAAACCACTTGAGACATCTCTTTAATATGTCAGCTGTTTATGAACATTAACACATCTCCAACGAAGGAATTTTAAGAGAATCTCGAGACACTGTTGACGCTTCGAGTGGATCTCATGAGCTATAAAAGAGATATATGAGCACTTTTCCATTAACTTTTCCATATACACTCATGAAGTAACTGAATCCATTGGTAACATGATGCCTCAAAACACAGACCTTAACATGTCAGGCTTTATACTAAGCTGTTAATCTTTAAAGCTGAGGTTTACAGTTTAAAGAGCAAATATAGTGTGGTCAATACAGTTCAGTCATAATCATATCAATAAATACTCTTCTAAAGATTCATCTAAAAGGCATATGAACAGAAATACACAATGCAGGTCTTTCCTAGAAAGTGATTAAGGCATTTGTTTGACTGATCGCTGTGTGTTAGAAAGCATAGTGTACATTTAAGTCTGCTTGATGCTTAGCCAAATCTGCAGTGCGGTAAGCAGGTCTTTTAACACGTGTTCACATGTAAACGACACAGACTCCCACTGCTGTTTCTATACTATTTATGCACTTTGATAATATTATAGTAAAAATGTAATTGTTTTATTTGAATATTTTCAGTTTATTTAGATTTTTTATTATAGGTTTTGTTGATTTATTTATTTTATTTTTTGGTTTTGTTTTATAATGTTTAGCAATTATTATATTTTAATAGAATTTATTTATATTAAATTAATATTTAATACAATTTATTTATTACTTTGAAGTCTGTTAAATTGCAGGAATTTCAAATATATATATATATATATATATATATATATATATATATATATATATAGTAGTTCCTGCTGTAACGAATGTATCTGTGCACTTCATTATTTTGTAAAAATTATGTTGCCCTCATAAACTTTAATCAAATACCATAAACTTCCCTTGAAAAAACTTTTCTTAATTTTCTTTGGGGCGGGGCAATTAATCCTTTAGTGCGGGGCTATCAGGACAAGTCTTATGAATTCATCCATTTATCAATCTTCCTTCATTTTCCAACAATTTAAATGGTCTCCAAATTCATGCACCGTCCTACTTTTTTTTCCCATTTCAGGGCAGATTCAAGTGGATGTCAGGATATCTGTATAATATACCCATATAAATACTTGTATAAATACTTAAATCTGATGCCATCCCTTTACAATAATAACATTCTAAACCTAAACCGAGAAACCTTTAAAAGACAATTCCCATTTTAATATCTGCAGCGAAATAAATTTACATTTTATATACAAAGAAAGCTTTAAATTGGAGGAAAACAACATCATAGTAACAACATTTATAGAAATATTACCCTATATATCTAACTATATACATAACATTTCTTAGTTCATTCCTTAAAACTTGTGGACACACCCTTTCTTTTATTTGCAATTATTTACATTATGCATCCATTATTTGCATTTGTGTACATTATGCATCATTCTATTTGCATTTATTTACATTATGCATCCTTTTATTTACATATTTTCCATTGCTTATGTTTACAGTATGCATTCTTTTATTTGCATTTGTTTACATTATGCATCATTCTTTTTGCAATTGTTTACATTATTTATCATTCTGTTTGCATTAATTTGCATTACGCATCATTTTATTTGCATTTGTTTACATTATGCATCTTTTTATTTGCATTTATTTACATTATGCATCATTTTATTTGCATTTATTTACATTATTCATCATTTTATTTGCGTTTGTTTACATTATGCATCCTTTTATTTGCATTTATTTACATTATGCATAATTTTATTTGCATTTGTTTACATTATGCATCATTTTATTTGCATTTATTTACATTATGCATCATTTTATTTACATTTGTTTACATTATGCAACATTTTATTTGCAATAATTTACATTATGCATCATTTTTTTACATTTGTTTACATCATGCATCATTTTATTTGCATGTTTACATTATACATCTTTTATTTTAAGTTGTTTATATTATGCATCTTTTATTTTTTTGTTTACATTATACATCCTTTTATTTGCATATATTTACATTATGCATCAGTC